CACACCAGGACTCTCAATAACCATAATGTCATTGTTGTTGTTGTTTAGTGTCTTTGAGTTGCTTCCAACTCATAGTGACCCTGCATAGGGTTTCCTAGGAGCGTCTGTTGAGCTTGAACCGCCAACATTGTGGTAAAGATAGGAAAGAAGGACGAATGGAAACAGTAAACACAGAGAGGAAGTGGGAAAAGTTCTGTTACATTATACTGATCGCAATCAACGTCACTAAGCAAAACGTGTATGAATTTCCGAATGGAAAACCAATGTGCTCTGTAAACTTTTACCCAAGTCACAGTTTAAAAACAAAGAAAGACTGAATGAAACTTGTGAGCAGCCATCTAAGACACAATTATTGATCCCTTTCTGTCTGGAGCAAAGAATAGTGAAGAAAAGCAAAGACTCAGAGAAACAATTCATACAAAGGATGAATGAACCACATCAACCACAGCCGTCACTACCCCAAGACTAGAACTAAATGGTTTCCAGCTACAATTACTGATCACTCTGACTGGGATCTTAATTGAAGGACTTGAACAAAGTGGGAGTAAAATAAATAGAGAACAAAATTCAAAATCATAGAAAACACCAGACTTACTGGCCTAATGGAGACTGATGGGACCACAGAGACTATGGCTCTTGGACACCCTTCTGACCTAGAATTGAGCCCACTCCCAGATATCGCCTTTCAGCCAAACAATAGACAGACCTATAGAGTGAACAATAATGCCTATAAAGAACGTGCTACTTGGAACAATGAATCATACGAGACCTAAAGGGAAGCATTTACCAAAAAAAAAAACAACCCAGAATTCAAAGGGCAGGAAGGGGCAAGTGGAAACAGGGACCCTAAGAACAACATTGATGGAGTTGCAGCCAATAGTACTAAACAAAATGTGTACACACTGTTGAATGGGAAACTAATTTGCTCTGTAAACTGTCACTCAAACCACAATAAAATGCTCAAATAAGTTAATTAATTAAATCTAACTCTCATGGTCACCTTGGCACTAAATTGGCTCACAAAATCATGAATATCACCCATAAGTGAGGTGCTGCTTTCAAAATCACCTAAATGAGAATAAATAGTTAACAATTACTTTAAAACAAAGATGAGAATGTAAAGACAGGGAAACTAGATAAATGGAAATGGAATAATCAGAATAGACATAATGAGAATGATCAGGTTATGAAGAACGTAAGCAACGTCACTGAACAACGTGGTTAAAAATTGTTCTAAGGGAACCTAAACTGCTGTATAACCATCACCAAAACCACAATTAAATATTAAAATATTATCTTCAAAAAAAAAAAAAGAAAAATGAATGAAGTCGGACCCAAGTCTCATACCAAATACAAAATTTAACTCAAAATGGATCAAAGATCTAAACATAAAAGTTAAAACTACAAAACGTTTAGGAGAAAACAGATGGACAAATTTTCATGACCTGGATTTGGCAAGCGATTCTTAGATATAACAACGAAAGTACAAGCGACAACAAAAATAGCTAAATTGGACTTCATCAAAATTTAAAACTTAAGAGTCAAAGAACACTATCATGAAAGCAAAAAGAGAACCCACAGAGTGGAAGAAAATATTTTCAAATTGTATATATGATAGCGCAGTGGTTACGAATCGGGCTGCGAACCTTAAGGTCAGCGGTTCGAAACTACCAGCTGCTCCGCGGGAGAAAGATGAGGCTTTCTACTCCCGTAAAGATTTACACCCTCGGAAACCCTGTACAGGGTCGCTATGGGTCGGAACCGACTCGATGGCACATAACAACAACAACAAACAAATATATGATAAGGTATCCAAAGTATCCAAAATACTGAAAGAACTCTTACAACTCATCAGCAAAAAAATGAAAAATGGGCAAAAGACTTGAAAGACAGATACACAAATGATTAATAAACACATGAAATATGCTTAACATCCTTAGCCATCAAGGAAATGCAAATCAAAACCACAGTGAGATACTACTTTACACCCACAAAGATGGTCATACTTTAAAAAATAAAAATACCAAGTGTTGAAAAAGTGTGGAGCAATTGGAGCTCTCAAACATAACAGGGTGTAGGTACTATGAAAAAAAGTCTAACCATCCTTCAAAAAGTTAAACATGAGTTAACGTGTTGTTGGTAAGTACCATGGAGTCAGTTCAGACTCATAGTGACTGTGTATCAGGTTCCCAAGGAGAAGCTGATGAGTTTGAACTGCCAATCTTGGGGTTCAGAGTTTGCAATTCAGTGCTTACCCTGCAGAACTGCACCAGGACCCCTTATCACCCAACAAATCCTTTTCTAAGTATATACCCTCCAAAAAATTGAAAATAAGTGTTCAAACAAACAGTTGTAAGCATATGTTCACAGCTATACCATCCAAGTAGCTAAAAAATGGAAAAACTGAAAATGTGCATCAAATGATAAATGTGTAAGCATAATGAGGTATACCCGTACAATTGAGTATTAATTGACCATAAAAAGGAATGAAGTATGTACTGCTACATGCTACAACATGGATAAATCTTGAAAGGTTTATGTTAAGTGAAAGAAGGCAGACACAAAAGGTCACATAATATATGATTCCATTTATAGAAAATATCCAGACAAATTGATAGAAACAGAAAGCAGATTACTGGTTTCTAGGAGGCGAAGGAAGGGAAGAATGAAGAGTGGCTGCTTAATGGTGTTCCGTGTTGGGTAATGAAAACATCCTGAAACTTGAGGGTGGTGATAATTGCTCAACATTGTAAATGTGAATAAGCCCTGAAATACACCCTTTAAAATGGTTAAAATGGTAACTTTTATATTATGTGAGTTTTACCACCATAGTTTTCTGGTTTGTTTGTTTGTTTGTTTTAATTACGATACTATTTCTCACTTATGCAGTGTGTAAAAATCAGTATTTGATATCACCCTAGGTTTGAAAGGGGGTAGGAAACCTGGCACTTCCATAAATGTCTGCTGTGAATGCAAATTATTGCTAACTCTTTGGAAGGTAATCAAGAAAAACTTTTTACTATCACCACCTTTGAGATATTTTGAATTTAAAAAGAACCCTGTAAGCTTATGACCTGTGCAAAAAAATAAGCAAGAAAACTGGCTTTTTTTTTTTTTTTTTTTTTTAAGGCATTTTATTCCTATTGATTAAAAGTATGAAGCAGGGAACTTCACCTGATGCTCTTACCGGGATTCTCCAAACTGAACCACACTCTGTCCAAAGCCCCTTGCATTCTCTTGGAAGATGATCGCTTTTTCTGTGTCCAGGTTGAATCCTTGACATATGGCTAGGGCTGAAGGGAGAATAAGAGGAGAGTCAGGCAGAAAAACCGAGTTTGCCTTCCTGCTTCTTACATCTTCTATACCAGGATCCACCCCAACTCAGCATCCTCATGTCTGCCTCCCACCTCGGATAGGCTGGGACAGGAACTAGCACTCTTTCTATAAAGAACCAAACAGTAAACATTTTAGACTTTGTGGACCAAGAGGCAAAATAGAGTGTATTACCTATGTACTTCTACAGCAAGAGAGAAAATGCATTTCTACAAATTTTTACTGAAGGACTTCTAGGTATAACAATAATAAATAAGCATATTCTTTTATAATACAGGCCTACTAATGAGACCTCAAGGTCAGCAGTTCGAAACTACCAGCCGTTCCACAGGAGAAAGATGAGGCTTTCTGCTCCCGTAAAGATTTGCAGCCTCGGAAACCCTGTGCAGGGTCACTATGAGTTGGAACCGACTCCATGGTACTTAACAACAACAACAACAACAACAACAACAACAACAACTAATGAGACAAATGGTATTTTTAGGGGGAGATGACGGTTCATTTAATTGGGGTTCAAAGTTAGTGTTTCTATCATCAAATCAATTACAAATGTCTATCCGTAAAAACCATCCTTCGCTCACAGGTTGGACCAAAGCATGTAGTGGGGCACATTTGACTTACATCCTTCAGTTTTCCAACCTCTGCCTGAGGTCTGCTCAAACCACCATCTTAGACCCATGCAGCCCCCACTGAGCTCCATCCAGACCCTGAGCTTCCAATGTTCTCCATTGTCCCCATTCTGTCCATTTGCTCAATAATCAAGTTCCTATAGTGTCTCTGTTACGTAAATTCCTTCCTACACAACATTCAAGCATTTTCTTCCCTACTTGGTCCATTCCCCACAAAATACAGACAACAAAGGAAACAAACATGAATCCTCTTGACAGGTCATTTACCCCCTGGATTCTAAAAAAAAATGAGAGGTGGTGAGGTGGAATCTAAAAGGAAACACTCTGGGAAAAGAGTCCATTACTAGCTGTGGACCCTTGGACAAGTTACTTCACCTCGCTGGTCTTCAGTTCCCTCATCTGTAAAATGAGAGCCCCACCGAACCTCCCCTTGTATGAACTTGGTCATTTGCCCAAGCTTCGCTGGCTAGCTCATCTTGGTTCAGCTCTACTCTCTACCTCTTCTTGAACTCTACTTTCTTTTCCCCATATCTTCTTTCCCTCTCCCAGTCAAACTCCTAGCTATTCTGCACCCTCTGTCTCCACTCACAAACCCAGAATTTCCCTCTCCCCAACCTGAGGACTTCCCTCAGGCCCCTTGTATACCTGTCAGTAGAAGGACCCTGCTAGTCATGGTTGGAAGGAGCAGGAACCACAGGGCTCCAGATCCCCCGCAGCTACCTCAGGGAAGTCACCAAAACCAGGGAGGGCCAAAAAAAGAGAGAAGTAGGAGGCAGAAGTCTGTTCAGAGACTTAAAGGAAGAGGGCGGAGGCTTAGTGGTGAACACACAGCTTTGCTTGACCTTCCTCTCTAGACCGCACACAGCTTTTTTTACCTTCTTATCTATTTATTTCTTCATCCAACCATCATTATGGAAAAAAATAAAAAGGGTCACCTTGTCACCCTTCTGTTTCAAGAGTTGGCAAAATATCATGAAAAGTAAGCTGAATAGACTGTGGCCTGCTTCCTGAAACACGTCTCTGTGTCTCCCCCTAAAACAAATCGCAAAATGTTCCCCTTCCAGCCTTCAGAAGCAAGAGTTCTTCACCATCTAGTTCTACTGGTCTTCAAGTCATAGAAGCTGAAATCCATGTGATCATTAGCCCTGGTGGTGTCATATTTTACGAGTTGGGCTGCTAACCACAAGGTCAGAAGTTCAAATCCACCAGCTGCTCCACAGGAGAAAGATGAGGCTTTCTACTACTGTAAAGATTTACAGCCTTGGAAATCCTATACAGGGTCACTATGAGTCACAACCACCATTAGTCCTTTGGACTAATTATGTTCATGCTTCTTTGATTTTCTTCACTTTTCTTTGCTCCAGTTATGGAGACACCAATAGTTGCACCTTGGATGGCTTCTCACAAGCTTTTAAGACCTCAGTTACTACTCACCAAAGTAGGGTGTAGAACATTTTCTTTGTGGATTATGTTGTGTGGATTGATCAGGATGTCCCTCAAGAGTATGGTCTTGAGACCCAGTGTTTCATTCCTTCAAGGTGTTTGGTTATGACTAAGAAAGTTTTCATACTTTCTCCTCCTATGTACTCTAATATCTTCATAGGTATATTTGCAGCACATACATGAAGGGGCTTTCAAAAATT